CATAATTCTGAGTTGTAAAGTCAGAATTCTGAGATTATATTCACAATTCTATGTTTCAAAATTAGAAATCTGAATTTCAAAGTCAGAATTCTGAGATTAAAAGTCTGTTTTCTGACTCTAAAAGTCAGAATTCTCTCAGAAGTCTAACTTTGAAGCTCAGAACTCTAATTTTAAAACTTAGGCTTGCTTCGAAAAAAAAAATTAGGATGGCCCTAGGGCACGTCCATACAATAATATGATGGTCACTTGGAAAAATATATTTGTGCCCATTAGAAAGAATCTCCCCTTTAACGATAGCTGCAAAGATTATTGTTGTTAGTGGTTCATTATTTGAGAGGCAGAAATTGCTCCTTGCTGAAGGAACCTCTAGAAACCTCTAGAGGAAGCCTAGGATTCCACAGAACCCTGGCTGAGAAAGGCTGCCCTATACTGTCAACACCTTATTGCAGTTTGTTGACTGCTTTACTACCTGTTCTGTTTCTATTTCTTTTATCTTCAATAAAATCTAAATTTAAAAAAAAAAATAATTGCTTCAAACCCATAATTTTTAAGTCTTTTTCCACAGGATGGACAGTCTTCTCTATTTATCTTTGAATAATCAGTGTTGTACACAATACACATTTGCATTTTGTGCTCCTGGGACCATCATTTTGCTTGTATCTGAAGCTGTTGAATAAGTATTTTTGAACATTTCTGGTGAGCACTGCCTTACGTGGGTGCATCACCATTACATCATCTAAGGCTTCACATCTCTTGTGATGACTTCATGAAGTTTGACTGACAGCTGGGCAAGTGAGGACTTCTCTGCAATGTTACTTATCCGTTCTACACACCACTAGCTCCATGAACAGTCTTTTCACACAATGTAGGCCTGTAGGATCTCTTCTGGTCGGATATGAGTGTGGCACCAGCTGTTCCTTACATGTGTGGCACAAGAGCACCATGACTAAACACTCAATAATAAAATTCCACATATTCTTTGCCTTTTTTTTTACAAGGCTGGCCAATTGATTGGAAGAGCAAAACTTAGGAGTACAAATCTCTTTCCCATGGAAGTCAATATGCCTATTAGTTTGCATGTAATTGCAGGCAGAATGTCAATATGACATAACCACTTCAGCTGCTGGCCTCAAAACATTTGTATGGAGCCTGCAGTTGTATTTCCAAAGAGGTGGAAAGAACACAGGCGCTTAATTACAAATCCAAATATTTGTTCATTATCAAAAATGTCTTCCTTGCTTTTGACTCCTTTGTGTAGAAGCACAAAGGGGTCCCCACTGCTACACCTACTCAATTTCACTATGGCCTGGAACAACGGTTTAACATTTGAGCTGTAGTACCATCTGAGGGTGAATCCTGGAATTACATCTAGATCAGGGGTCTCTAAACTTTCTGAACAAGGGACAATTTACTGTTCTTGAGTCTTTAGTGGGGCCAGACTGCAGCCAACAGACATGTGCACGCTGAAATATTTTGTTTAATTTCAGACGCATTCGTTAGTTGAATTTCATGTTGTCATATTCGTTACGTTGAACCGGTTTGTTTTCAGAATTAATTTTGTATCTTTGGCATTTGTTTCGTATATAATTGTTGGCCCGAGTGGATTTGAAAAAGTTTGCAGTTTTTTTCAGAAAATTGCTATATATTAGTTTTCTGTTTTGATATTTAGTGGATTCATTATTCATATATTGAAACTACTCGGAAGGATTCGACATTCGAAATTTGGATCCATTCAATATCTGAATCCAAATTTACAAACAAATTTGAAAATTGAATTAATTTCCTTATGGGCTCATACTTCTATCTCCTTATGTGACATCATCCAAATGAAACAAATGCATTAATTTATTTCCTTATAACTTTTTTCAGATTCGTTGACATTCGTTACTACGTCTATTCAGAGATTTGTATATATTTAACTCTCTGCAAATCAAATTTTTGTCCAAAGATCGATTTGTTACTAAATGAAACACATATGTCTGGTGGCCATGGGGTTTTGAAAATGCAGTGGTGTCATTGAGAGTGAACAGTGCCCCACCATTGGTTTTAGTGGAAAGAATAGTGCCCTATTGTTGGTATCAGTGGTATAAATGGTGCCCCATTGTTGGTATTCAGGGTAGGAATGGTGCCCCATTGTTAGTGTCTGTGGGAGGAATGGTGCCCCATCATTGGTGTCTGAGGGAGGAATGGTGTCCCAAGGGCTGGATAAAGGCAAGCAAAGGGCTACATCTGGCTCGTGGGCTGCAGTTTGGAGACCACTGATCTGGACCGTTCAATACAGTGCCTGTCCCACGTCCTACAAGCTACAAGAGTAAAAATATTAGCAACTCTGAAAACTCCCTTTTAATGAACTTTGATTATTTAAGTCCAAGCACAAGGGGAAAATTGTCAACACATTACTTCTGATGGTTTGTGCTAAGGCTCAGGTCATACTCTATCTGTAATCAGGTATATGGTTCCCTCAAGGGTTCTCATGGAAACCTACTTAAGAAACTCAACCAGAAGATCCGTTTTCAGTGTCTTCGTTCTGTCATCACTCAAACAAATGAATACAGAACCACAGGGAGCCATTAACACTAAGGTGGAGCCCACACATAGTATGCACATACAGTAAGGTACTCATGAATAGAAGAAGCAAGTAGGGTTATAAACACAATCTAAGTTAAAGCATATGTTACTTACCATGACCGTAATATACCGTAAGTGGCTTATAACCACGTGATAATAATTTTACACTTTCACAATAAAAATAAAAATTCTAACAGCAAATGATGATCATTTCAGCTAACTGAATTGAAGCCAATGGTTAACATACCTGTAACCAATGGGTGTCTGTTGTCTGGTATCTGTGACTTCACCAGGTTCGGACAGTTGTTCAGTGCGTGCACAAGCCATCTGCAGATCACATTTGGCTCTGCAGATTGTGTAAATTTGTGTAAATGGAGGCAAGAAGAGTCAGAGCCAGTGACAATGTCTATGACTTAAAAAATTCCAAATAGATATTCTCTGCAATAGAAGAATTATACTCACCTCATCAGCAGCCAATGTCCCCTGCCTTTGCTCTATTCCAGAGATGAAGCCTCCATCAAACTCCAGCACTCAACATTTCTGGTAGTAGTGTCAGATGCCTGTGTGCTTTTGTCTTGTATGGTGGTTCCATCTTCCAACCTCATTGAAGGAGGGGTTGAAGGATGGAATCACAGGCATCCGACTCTAAGTTGAGTGTCGAAGAGTCTGATGCAGGATGCAACACTGGAATACAGAGAAGGTTGGAGACATGAGTCACCAATGAGGTGAGTATATAAATCAACCTTTCTCAACCTTTTTAACAACGAACAACCACTGTAACTTTCTGGGCTCGGGGAACCTCTGCTAATAATAAAAATATTTACAACTCAAGGTACATTAGCATTCTGGTTAGTAGAAAGAATTATCTGTACATTGGTTGTCAGTTGGAAGAGTTCCCTCCTTACAAATAGCTGAAAAGATCATTGGTGTCATTAGTTACCTATCTGAGAGGCAACAATTTCTCATTGCTCAAGGAACCCCTAGCAATCTCTGGAGCATCCCTAGACTTCCACAGAATCCTGCTTGAGGAAGGCTGATATAAACTCTTCTATTTTAAGGAACCTTTATTTTTTTAAGCAGCAAACAGGATCACTACAGGCTGTTGGCATTTGGGTTGCTTTAAGAAGAACGACCGCTGTCTAGTGGGTACTTAATTTATTTTGGGAAGATTCATTAAATATTTGGCAGATGCAAACCAGTGCTACTGGCATAGTAAACAATATTTTCTTTTATTCTTTCTCCAGAGGAACAGAACACTGAGCCCTCATTCACCTTAACAAGGAGATTTAGAAGCGTTTTTTTTTTTTTGGTGCAATTGTATGTGTGACTTGCAGTACAGGAGCAGATTCACACATTTTTGGCCGCATGGAAGCACCAATTTCCAAATACTCTGATTAAATCCTATAGATCCAAAACACGCAATTTAGCCTCAAGGAAGCTTCACATGACTGGTGATAGGCAACACAATGCTTAGGCGAGAACAGGCTCATTGGGAATGTTGGGATTCATTCGAGCATTGTTGTACTTTGGGAATTGCGTGAAAAGTGCTCATGCATAAATGGGGGCTGAATCTAAATGGTTCAAACTGCAGCAACCTACTTTTTGATCCGCAAGTGCAAACCAGTATATTAAAACATAGCAATTGTTCAAACCGACATGGGGTAGTTGGTTTTGTTAACACTGATTTAGGTTAACTTTTCAGCAGGCAAAATGTGTTATAGAAAGTAAGTTAGAGAAAGTTCCTGATCAATCAAATGTTTATAAACTTTGTAAACTTTTACCAAGTATGGGGAATAAGTCTACGTGCTTTAGGGTCTTCTGACGCACTCAGTAGAGGTTACCTGCTGTTTTGAAGTAGAAAGTATTACAATAACACTGACAAAGCACTAAAGCAGGATGTTGTCCCTTCTTTAAAAGCTGACAGAGGGGAAGGCGAGAGTTAAAGTTCAGAGTCCATTGTACAGGACAGAAACAGCAGATCCTCAATGCAGCCTTCAGGGTGGAGCAGAGCTGCAAGCTTTAACTCCTCCATTACCCTGTCCTTTAGCTTAGAGGGAGCAGTGTTTGGGTGAGCCAACTTTACAGAGCACAATCCCTTTTTTCCATTTCTATGCAAAACCATCCTGTGAGAGGCACAGCTCTCTATCCCACCCCCAGAACTCCCCTCCTCCCTGTGCTTTCACCTCCCCCAACCGCTTCAAATCCTTTAGTCCTCTTCATCTCTCCACATTGATTATCCAAGCCTGTCTACAGCTCCTCCCTCTCCTGATCCCAGCTCTCAGCCTGCTGAGTTCCCAGGAGTGCAGGGGTGTCTTTTTCACAAAGAGGGAGGGGTTTAGAAAAAAAAAAGCAATTTAAAAAGTCTTCTTTGCCTTCCTGATCAGAATACCTGTGCAGACCTGGCAAGGTGGACACCCTGTAACCAGAGGACCATGCCCCCTCAAGACCTGTCCATGGAGTACACGTCACACTTTGCACCCCCTGTGCCACCTCACATGCCTAAGCCTCTACCTACAGCTGGGGGTCAAGAGAGGAACCTGAAATGCGTGCTTCTGGGAGATGGTGCGGTGGGCAAGACCAGCCTTTTGGTCAGCTACACTACCAATGGCTACCCGACTCGATACATTCCTACGGCGTTTGATGACTTCTCAGGTAGGTTTGCTTGTGACTGCATTGTTGTGGAAATGATTGAGTTGACTTAATAGGCCAAAATTGGGGGTTTCTATTTCCTATACCTTATTTTAATGATCTCCCCTTTGGAGGATACTGGTGTTCTCTGTAAAGCTTCGAACTGGTGTTCTATATATTTTAGAATTCAGTGTGTAGATTCCATGAATACGTAGATTCCATATGAAGATTCCATGAAGGCGTAATATTCCGTATTAAAAAGACCATTGCTAAAGAATAATCATGGAAAATCTCAGTCAAAACGGTTTACTAGTGTGTTGGTAAATCATTCTCTCCAGGTGGTAGCTTTTGAGAAACATTTGTAATATAAGCAAACGTTTAGGAGAGCATCTAAAGGATATCTGCTACTGTTCAATGTGCAAAGGATCAGGATTCGGGAACAATACCAGATAAATCAAACCAGTCACCCAAAGAAACCACAAAATACTACCTTTGTTTGTTCTCTTACAAAGTCCGATATTGTGAAGGTGTTTGAAAATTTGTTTGAAAAATAGGCCTTTGTATATTCAGGCATATTTTAGTTGGGCAAGCTTTCCTTGATGTTTAAAGTATTAGACAGGATCTGCATTATAACCACGTTGCAATTGACAACTGGACAAGTCAAGTTTCACAAGTTTGTCGGTGATCTTTTACAAACGCTCCCCCTCCATACATGGCCAGGTTGTTGTGTTAGATCCTTCAAACCTTTTGTATGCTTGTATACTGAAATAATCTTGTCTCCCAAATCCGGTCTGGTGGCCCATTGTATATGTGTATATGCAATATTTTTGGGTCCCAAAGATTATTTAACTCGTTTCCTGGTTTTTGCTATATTCTTAGTACTAGTCAGGCTAGGTTCCCTGTCCTGGATACTTGAGAAAGGGATCCAATATTGGGGTATTGCAGGTCACCCCTGGGGGGAATTCTTGTTTCTGCGATTCTTCTATCCAAGAATGTATCTTAAAGGCTAATCTTTTTTATTAACTGGTTTGGACTAGATCTTATGTAACTAGCCTTAACATCACGCTGCCCAAGCAAATGCTGTATATGAACCCTTATCTAGATAATATTAGTATCCCCGTAATAACCATTTTATCATAGTTTCTGTGCTATTACATTTATAACATTGCAGGGTGTCATTTTACTTCATTGTCCAAGCAATATAGTGTTACATAAGTGTTTTATAACCTCATCACCTTATTATATTGCTTGGTTTTACTGGATAGTCTATGGAGGAAGTAGAGAGAATTTCATGCACAATGCAGCACTATGTGTGTATGCAGATCCAGGGTCCACAATGAAAGGTCATGTCCTGCCAACTCCTCCCCAGGGCGAACAGAATGACATCATTTTCCAATCAGTAGTATACAACAGGCCAGGGTGATGGGGGCCCCGCTGCACAGGGGGTACTAATCCTATGTATGTTAATGTGTTTTTTTTTTTTTTTTTTTGCAGCTCTGGTGCAAGTTGACAACACCCCAGTGAAGCTGCAGCTGTGTGATACCGCAGGCCAGGTAAGAGTTCAGTCAAGCTAGGAATGTCATGTATATGGAGATAGCTCAATTCTACAGCTCATAGTTCTGTGTTGGTGCGTCACCCTGCAGAGGAGGGAGGGGCACGCCAAACTTGACACTGTTCTTCCAGCTTGCTTATGTCATTTCGCAGCGCAGGTATGGAGCAGACTCCATGTTTCATGGTTCCCTTCTATCGGTGGCATCCTGAAGTGGGAGGAATAAACTTCGGGTCTCGTAGATTTCTTTTGTTTGTATTGGCCTACAATGGGAGGGTCAGCGTCCACGTCTCCTAGTTCCCTTATATCTAAACCACCTTGTAGAGGCTCAAACTCTGTGTTGCATAGCTCCCTTCCATATGAGTCACCCTGTAGAGGGAGGAGAAAACTCCATGCCACATAGATCCCTCCCGTCTGTGTCACCCTGAAGAGGGAGGTGCAAACTCCATGTTGAATTGCTCCCTGCCATATGTGTCACCCTGAAGAGGGAGGTGCAAACTCCATGTTGAATTGCTCCCTGCCATATGTGTCACCCTGAAGAGGGAGGTGCAAACTCCATGTTGCATAGCTCCCTGCCATATGTGTCACCCTGCAGAGAGAGGAGCAAACTCCATGCCAAATAGATCCCTTCCATCTGTGTCACCCTTTAGTGGGAAGGTTAGGCTTCATGTCGCATAGATTCCTTCTGTCGGTGTTGCCCTGCAGTGAGAAGGACAGACACAATGTTACATAGATCCCTTCTGTCAGTGTTGCCCTGCAGTGAGGAGGACAGGCACAATGTTACATAGATCCCTTCTGTTGGTGTCGCCCTGCAGTGAGAGGGACAGGCACAATGTTACATAGATCCCTTCTGTTGGTGTCGCCCTGCAGTGAGAGGGACAGACACAATGTTACATAGATCCCTTCTGTTGGTGTTGCCCTGCAGTGAGAAGGACAGACACAATGTTACATAGATCCCTTCTGTCGCTGTCACCCTGCAGTGGGAGGGACAGACACAATGTTACATAGATCCCTTCTGTCGCTGTCACCCTGCAGTGGGAGGGACAGACACAATGTTACATAGATCCCTTCTGTCGCTGTCACCCTGCAGTGGAAGGGACAGACACAATGTTACATAGATCCCTTCTGTCGCTGTCACCCTGCAGTGGAAGGGACAGACACAATGTGACATAGATCCCTTCTGTCGCTGTCACCCTGCAGTGGGAGGGACAGACACAATGTGACATAGATCCCTTCTGTCGCTGTCACCCTGCATTGGGAGGGACAGACACAATGTGACATAGATCCCTTCTGTCGCTGTCACCCTGCAGTGGGAGGGACAGACACAATGTTACATAGATCTCTTCTGTCGCTGTCACCCTGCAGTGGGAGGGACAGACTGCCTATCTTATAGTTCTTTTACATTGCATGTTACCTTTAAAGTGACACGCGCGCTGTCCTAGATTTAATAAAAACACAAAATCCTGGTTATTAATTTACATTTTATTGCTCCCTGCTTTCTGTGTCACTCTAGGTAGTAGGCTCAGGGTCCCTATCGAAGGGTTCGTTGGGAGCAAACAATGCCAATGTCCTAATACCAGAACATTGCACTGTTCTGATTTTTGTTAGACTTTTATGGTGCAGATCTATTGCTGACAGCATTGTATGAACCAGTGGATTGTGCTGCACTACATTGTGGTAAAAAACTGACCTCATAGGTACAAGGCTTGATGTCTTGTTTTGCATTGGGACTGCGTTGGGCAAGCCTGCACAGCGCAGTCCCATCGCACCTGTCTTTCCCATGTTACAGTGAAAGGGACAGACTCTTTGTATCATAGTTCCTTTCTTTTTTGTGTCACTTTTTAATTGGAGGGTTAGGTTCCAAGTCTTTTAGTTCCCTTCTCTATGTTTAATACTGCAGTGGAAGCATCAGTCTCCATGTCCCGCAGCTCCCTTCTGTCTGTGTCACCCTGTAATGGAAGGGACAGACTCCATATCCCATAACCTTCAGTCTGTGTCACCCTGTAGTTGGCAAGTCAGGTTCCATGTCCCATAGCTCCCTACTGTCTATGTAACTCTGTAGCAGGGGCAGACTGACCATTTGGAAACTCGAGCACTGCCCGAGGGCCCAGGGTCAGTAGGGGGCCCCATAAGATGCACCTGGTACCTTTTTCATAGGCTTTTTTGAGTTTGGGCAATGACACAGGGGCCCCATGATCCCTTATTGCCCGGGGGCCCCATGAGTTGTCAGTCTGCCCCTGCCCTGTAGTAGAAGGGAAAGATTTTGTGTCCCATAGTTCCCTACTGTCTATGTAACCCTGTAGCAGAAGGGAAAGATTTTGTGTCCCATAGTTCCCTACTGTCTATGTAACCCTGTAGTAGAAGGAACAGACTTTGTGTCCCATAGCTCCCTACTGTCTATGTAACCCAGTAGTAAAAGGGAAAGATTTTGTGTCCCATAGTTCCCTATTGTCTATGTAACCCCGTAGTGGAAGGGACAGACTTTGTCCTGTAACTCCCTACTGTCCGGGTCACCCTGTAGTGGAAGGGACAGACTCCATGTCCTGTAGCTCCCTACTGTCTATGTAACTCTGTAGTAGAAGGGAAAGATTTAGTGTCCCATAGTTCCGTACTGTCCTGGTCACCCTGTAGTGGAAGGGACAGACTCCATGTCCTATAGCTCCCCACTGTCTGGGTTACCCTGTAGTGGGAGGGACAGGTTCCATATTTCATAGATTCCTACTGTTTGTGTGATCCTGTAGTGGAAGTGACATTCTGCATAGCCCCCTCCACCCCTCAGTCATGTCGCCCTGTAGTGGAAGGGACAAACTTCATGTTCCATAGCTCCCCTCTGTCATGTGTCATCCTGTAAAGGAAGGGACAGACTCCAAGTTTAATTGCTCCTTAGGAACAGTTCTATGTCTCATAGCATTCTGTCTGTATTACCCTGCATTCATATGCATTCATAGGAAAAGAACCCATTAGTTTTCTTTCTAGCTTTCTCTTTTCTCTGCAGTTTTAAAGGACAGAAATAAATGTAATCTTTTCTTCTTTCCCAGGATGAATTTGACAAGCTTCGCCACTTTTGTTACCCAAAAACCGATGTTGTCATCCTGTGCTTCAGCGTGGTCAGCCCATCCTCCTTTCAGAATATATCAGAAAAGTGGATTTCTGAGATCCAGTGTCACTGCCCCAATGTGCCAGTTGTTCTAGTGGGTACTCAGTGTGACCTTCGGGAGGATGTCAAAGTCTTGATCCAGTTGGCCCGGTATCGAGAGAAACCTGTACCCTCATCCTCTGCCAAAGCCCTTGCTGAGAAAATTGGGGCTGTGGGTTATGTTGAATGCTCCGCTCTTACTCAAAAGAATCTGAAAGATGTGTTTGACATGGCCATCCTTACTGGCCTCCGTTTTTCTGACCTTCGAAGCCAACGAGAGAGAAAAGTGGCTGCTACTGCCAGCAAGATGAAAACTCTATCTAAAGCTTGGTGGAAAAAGTACGTATGTGTATAGACTCAGCCATTTTCTTGACACACAGCCAAGTGCCTTATGACATGAGCTAGCACTCGAGACCAAACAAGAGGCCATTCCTGGACTAATGTTCTGAATTCCCAGGTGCATAAAATTAGGGTGGGGCATGGACTGAACAAACCACAGAGCCCTTGGGAGAGACTGTACCTGGGCACTAGACTAACCTACATAACGACCATCTGACATCCATTCTTCGAGGGATATATCCAAATTGCACCTATGTTTACACTGGATAAGATTCCGAAATGTAATGGGTCAGAAAGAAGCTTGGTGACCAGGATGGTGTCTATACAGGACTAATATGATGATTATCTTGATAGGCTGCCTTCTGATGGTGGCTGAATTTCTTAAATAGCTTCTGTTTTAAGGAGCGTGCAGAATATTGGCTTCTAATACTATGTATTAGCATTGACACCTGTGTCTGTGTGCAAAAGGATGACTTGGCCACTTCTACTGTTCAGACCAAGTAGACTGCTTGGCCAGCCTAAGACTCTGCAGCTGCTGTGAGACTGCAAATCATGGCCTGCTGGGACTTGTAGTTCTGCAGCAGTGAAGGAGGCTAGGCTTATTCAAATCTTTATTCAGTGACTTTTTCCATAGGAATAAGTGTGCAGTCATCCTTTGCCATAACACATCCGATTCCTGTTTCTATCAGTCTCCTTAATGAAGCTTTACAAGCATTGTTTGGGACACAAATGATCTAATTTCATGTGATTCTCTTTGCAAATAAAATTACTTTTTGTATATGAAAGCCGTCTGGTCTTTGCTCCACGTGTCATGGTGAAGAAACTGCACTAATGTATGATGGCTAGAGAAATTCTTAGCAAATGAATAAACAGATTCAGTGGAAAAGTGGTCATCTACAGTATGTGGCTTTGTAGAGCTGGGGACCTGGACTTGATGTCCACCAGGGACACCATCTGAAAGCCGCTTGTATGTTCTTTCTCTGTTGTGAGTGTGTTTCCTCCAGTTGCCTAAATTTCCTTCCACAACCGTGACCAATCCTCCCAATTTTCAGAGATGGGAACACCTTTAAATATGTAGGCAGTGGCCATAACCCTCCTACACCCCACAATTTAAAGTAGAAGTTCATTCAATTCATAACTATACTTAAACCTGCTCCCATTCTCATTCTATTCCTATTTTAACTACCCTGTGAAAGGAAAGATGTCTATACTGAAGGCACACTGGTCCAGTCACATGAGCTTTCCAACAGCCAGCTTCAGATGAGAGATCACCAACAACACCTCCAGAGCCTATGCGGTGATGTAACCCATAAGACTTATTATGGGGCATCTGTTTTTGGCTGTACCTACACTACACTGAAGCTGGCACTTGGAGCCAATCATGGCACTGGACAGGTGTGCCCTCAGCATAGGTAAGTATAGACATCTTTCCTTTACAAGGTAGTTGGAATAGGCTTAGAATATGGGAGGGAGTAGAAATAAGTATAGTTAGGATTTGATTGGATGTCCAGCTTCAGAATGATCACTTGAAGGGTATGTTTACCCTAACCATGAACTTCTTTTAGTGGGTCCATTTTGATCTGTTAGATGTACAACTGAAAGCATTTTGTTATTTTGCCAGTTTACCTTGCCAAAAATCTGATCTGATAAATTCCTGTGCTATGGTCTTATCAGTTACATTGCTGCCAGTTATCTCTAAGGACAACAGAGCCCCTTCCTGTTTATGTTATGTGAAGAGGGTGATGTTTCGATAGTCCTCTCCTTGGGTGAGTATGCTGCTTCTCTCCATACATACAGTACAGTAAATAAACACTGTCAACCTAGGAAAGATAGTGTGTTATTGGAGGGATAACCAGGTGAAAAAAAAGTATTAAAAACAAGGAAAAAAGAATGCAGGCACCACAGCTAAGGACTACTAAGCTACAATATACTGTATTATTAATATCATACAGGATTTGTATAGTGCCAACAGTTTGTGCAGCAATTTACAAAGTGGGGACGGGCAGAACAGTTACAATACAACTCAATGCAAGAGGAATCAGAGGGTCCTGATCATTAGAGCTTGCAATCTAAAAGGGAGGTTCGAGTGATGCAAAAGGTAATAACTATGGAGGAAGACCTGCTTACATTATTGTTTTTGAGTTTATATGCACTTTCCACCCAACTCTACTTACTTTTATATTTTATCCCATTTATATTACAATTTTAAAATCTTAAATGCAATAACTGAAGGGATGAATGAGAAGTTTGGCACTTTTCAAGACTATGGCAATGAAATTAAACATTTATTGACACAGATTTTTGCACCAGAGCTAAAAGAAGGACTTTTGAGGAGCACTAAGGCTAAGGGGTCTGACTGGGAAAGTTGGGAGATATACAATAAATCATAGTTGTAGATTAATTTGTTTAAGCAAAGATACAAATGAGTCTGGAATGTTTTAGATACTTTTCAATATGGGGAAGGAAAGCTGGAAAAGATACCTGCTATAGCGCATGACAAATGTGTGCCGAAAGCCTTAGGAGCGTTTAGAACGAACTTGTGATGTTCTTCCATTGACTTGAATGGAGGAATTTGGCAAGTTTTGCAAGTTATAAAGCCTGACAGACATTACAGGCAAGATCAAAATGAAGGCAAAGTGATGCAAACATGTTCCATGTACTAGGCCATTTGCTATTTATGGAAAGAACATGCATTTGCTTTACAAAACATATATCAACGTGCAGCGGACGTCTGTTCCATACACTTGTATGAATAAGTCCTTAGGGGCATTTGATGGAAAATCACCTTTTATCCTTCTGTCACTACCTGCCTTGGAACAAGTTTCTACATATCAGAGATCCTGATGCATGATATAAACATGCTTCTTCCAGGTCAGGGACTTATGAAGAAAGGATCAGGATGCAAACCTTGGAGCCCATATCTTCAAAAAGAAGTCACAATGGCAGCTCACATATTTTTATTCTGCAGTATTCCACCTTTATTTATTTCAGGTACTTATATAGCACCGTCAATTTACACAGCACTTTACATATAGTACATTCACATCAGTCCCTAACCCTCAAGGGGCATACAATCTAAGGTCCCTAACTTACATTCATATATACAAGGGCCAATTTAGACAGGATCCAATTAACCTACTAGCATGCCTTTGGAGTGTGGGAGGAAACCAGAGTACCCAGAGGAAACCCACTCAGGCACAGAGAGAACATGCAAACTCCAGGCAGGAGGTGCTGTGGTTGGGATTCAAACCAACAACTCTAGTACTGCCAGGCAGAAGTGCTAACCATTTAGCTACTGTGCTGCCCACAATTCATTTACACAGCAAAGAGCACATGGTTAACCTTTTGCCATCCAATGGAAAGGTTGACTTTAAAGGATAAGTTCACCTTTTGGACAAAAATAATAAATGCCCATTTTTTTGCAGGTAAAAGAATGTGCATTTATTATTTTTGTCCAAAGAAGCCCGGAAAGCATTGCAGCAGCGATTAGTAGATCACTGATGCCATGCAGGTCTCCTGCAGACCTGTCAGAATACCTGCTTGCCGTACGAGATGTGCAAGCAAGAAGATATTTCTGACTGGAAGCTTCAATGAACTACCACGGCACCCCACAGCACCGTGGTGGTTCATTGAAAACTACAAGCCCACAGCCGCTAAGGCTGTTGGGACTTGTAGGCACTCATTCACAGAACTCTGACGCGGCCGTGTGGGGGCGGAGCCCCGCACGGCCGCGCTGTTTTCACATCTGACAGATAGTATGGGGAAACGTCTCCCCATACTATCTCTCAGAGGGAGGGGGGGCAGCAGGCACGGCTGCAGCTATGGGAACATGTTACATGTTCCAAAGGTGAACTTGCCCATAAAGCAAAACATTTTTATTTAAAAATAAAAAACTTGTTATATTTACCTCAAAAAAATCCCTCTAGGTCCCTCAAAAAGCCTGGCTTTCATACACAATTGTCCTTCATGCATATAAACCATGAAAAAACAAAAACAAACCAAAAAAAAAAGTTAAAAAAAATTAAAAATATTTTTTACTTTTATTTTGTTTGTTTTAAATATTTTTAATTTTTTTAAACTTTTTTTTTTGGTTTTTTTGCTTGGTTTATATGTATGAAGGCCAATTGCTATGGAGAGGGACCTAGAGGGAATTTTGTGAGTTTTTGGTCTATACTTACCTGCTCTGTGCTATGGTTTTGCACAGAGCAGCCCTGATCCTTCTCTTCTTGGGTCCCCCAGCGGTGCTTATGACTCCACCCCCTGGCAAGTACCCCCATAGCATGCTGCTTGTTATGGGGGCACTTGTGTGTTGTTCCTTCTGAGCCAGCTCTGTGTGTCCATAGACAGAGTGCAGCTCAACCCTCCTCATGGGCTGTGATTCACAGCAGCGGCTCCCGCTGCTTTCTCTGAGCCAATGAGGAGGGAGAAAGCCGAGATAGCCACTCCTCTTATGCACACCACTGGATCAAGATCGGGTTCAGGTGAATATAAGAGGGGCTGGGATGGGGGGGTGTTAAGGTTTTTATTACCTTAATGTAGAGAATGCATTAGGGTAAAAAAAATCTTCTGCCTATTCCCTCACTTTCTGTTTTGGCTATGGGAAGTGAAGGGAAATCTCAATGGGACACAGATATGGCTACATAGTTAGTCTGGCTGAAAAAAGACAAAAGTCCATCCAGTTCAACCATATAAAAAAAAAACAAGTTATAATCCTACACCCACAGTCAGGGGCAGACTGACAACTCATGGGGCCCCCGGGCAATAGGGGATCATGGGGCCCCTGTGTCCTTGCCCAAACTCAAAAAAGCCTATGAAAAAGGTACCAGGGGCATCTCATGGGGCCCCCTACTGACCTCGGGCCCTTGGGCAGTGCCCGACTTTCCAAATGGTCAGTCCGCCCCTGCTTGATCCAGAGGAAGGCAAAAAAAAAAAAACAGCAAAGCGTGATCCAATTTTCTCCTGCATGGAAAAAAATTCCTTCCTATTCCCCTGAGAGGCAATCAGATATTCCCTGGA